ACGGGCGTGGTCAAAATGTGAGCTGTTATGGCTTACAAAAACAGAACAGATGATCAACACGGTCACAAGATGAGAGAGAGAAACAGCAACAAAGGAGAGAGTTTCTCAATATTCATCTAAATATACAAACTGTCTGCACAACTGATGGCATAACGTGGGGTAGCCTACAAGTTACCAAGTCATTGGACCAACGTGCTGCAAAGACAAATGCACACCAACCAGCATGACACCCTGCAGCAACTCTCAGTGGAAACATAGGCAGCTCAACAAAAGGTGCTTTGACCCACTAGCTCACTTCAAAAAACTGATACAAATTGGTCGCGCAGACATACTGCAAAGCGTTCATTCAAATGGTGACCAGCTGTCAGTGGTCACTTAAATAATGATGATAGGGCAGAGTATGAAGAAAACTTAGTCAGCAGGTCACCTCTATCATGCTTGGCCCACAGACCTTAGGTGTACCACATTTTAAACTCCGAATTTATAAACAGGCAAAAGAACTATTGAAGCAGTCTAATTTATCTCCATGTTCCTTGTTCCTTCCTCAGCAGAGTGGGTCTCACATAAGATTCCTGGTTTTCTGCCTTCTTTGTTTGCTGCCAGAGAGCAGGAAACCACGAAGCAATGTGAAGTTGAAGGGCAAATAATACAGGCCATATAGAACTAAGCTTCTGAGGTAATAAAGTATCAGTGCTGTCTTTATAGCAAGAGCATAGCAAGTCATAAAAAGCACCAATGAACACCAGGCTCCATTAGACATGTTAGCATGCACACAAGGTACTTGTAGCGGTTACAGACATCCTAGTACCCACCAAGCATCTATTTACGGTCCTAAAATCAACCACTTGCCATCAGCCAAAAACTTTGGGGGATACGACAGAAACTTTCACGCCTGCCTCAGTTTTGCTATGTTCCTACCTTTCCTAAGCCTACACGGAGACTCAAGCAGTTGATAAATTTGAAACCAGTGCCAAGCTAGCAAATACTTTTCATACTCAGATGAGCAGGCTCTCTGGGCTTAAAAAATTAAAAACTCTGGCGTTTATAGGCAGATCCCTTTTTCCCAACAGTAAGTTTCTAAAGAAGATATTTCATGATAGAAGGCAAACATTTTATCCAAGCTGGAAACAGCCTTGGGAGCAAACAGCTAGATGTAGTTACCTAGGTGCTCAAATAAGAAGAGCTAGCTCTGAAATGATCTGTATCGTTGCTGGGGAAAAAAAAATAAAACCAGATATACAGATCATTAACCTTTGAGATTGACACCGTATCAAGTTGGCAAGAAACTACCTTAACAAGTAAGGCCATAATCAGTATTTAGATAAAAACTCGAAGAACTGCGGCACTTGTTTATATTGTAGCCCTGTAGAAAGGAAGTCTAAAGGCTCTGGGCTGAGGAAAGCTATGACTGGGAAAATGTAAAGGCAACTTAATACTGGAGACTGAAAAGTCTTCACTTGATTTGAAATTTGCTAAAAAACAGTCAGGAGGTACAATTGATACAACTTAATTTCATAAAAACAAAATGTGTATTCCTATCAAGCCTAGCAAATGGCGTTTTTCTACAAAAAATCTGTAATGGACCTGTGTCAAGATGCCAGCACACTTCTGGCAACACCAACTGCAGTAGGTGATTAGAATTTATGCTGTGTAAAATTAAATTTTAGATTAAATGAAAATTATGAACCAAAATGCAAAAGCATTTATATGGCAATTCACCTACGCCATTTGTTTAAGAAGTGTCAAGGCAAGTGAACGTAACGCAGTGCTCTGAAGAGTTGACAGACGAATAGCCCTGGCTATTCCAGCAGCTTCCCCTCCAGCCCCACAGCTCTTCCCCCACCAGAAACCCGAGGCATATGTACGTGAAGCCACTGACATACTAACTACCTTCATTTCTTAAGACCAAGTGAAGAATAGTAAGGGAAAGTTAGAAAACATTATCTACAGAAAACTGAAAAAAACTCCTCTTGTAAAATCATCAGATCTCAGGAATAGGAAATCATACATTCTGCTAGATTAGTCAAGAATTTTTCTTGAAAAACTGTGTCACAGGAAGCTTATGAGAATTGAGTGAAATCCAGCATCTTGCAAGCTTGAAACAAAAGTATTTCACTATTCGTATTATTTTGGTTATATATTTCATCATAGTGGGAAAAAATAATTTTCTGAACGAACATTGCCACCCCAGTTCAGATCTACGTTTCAGTTTAATTCTGCAACCTAAACCAGTAGTCTGCTGCTGATAATGCCTACTTCCAGGTTTTGCAGAGTGAGGTTCTAGAAGTTATGATAAAAAGAAATCTAAATATACTCCCCATATTTACTGTCAAGGCACCAACAGAAATATCTTCCAAACTCTAGCATGCTGCTTGTTGCATAAAGCTGTGAGGCGTGAGATTTCACATTCTTTCAAAATAAACTCTTTCATCTGATCTAATGTAACTGTGCATGTTCATATATATATATATATCTATATATATCTCCAATTCATTTTTTTAATCCTACTAAGCCCCTGGCTTCAATAATATCTTGAGGATTGAGTTTGCAGTTGTGCATGTCGTAAAAAGCATTTTCTGTTATCTATTTTAAAGGTGTTGCCTTAAATTTTCATCACATTGTCCGTATCCTTCCAAAAACTACACTGTTACATACCTCTGGTTTATACATACCGACTTCTGAAACAAAGAATCCCAAACATACTTCATTTGTTCTTGACCACTCATTACCCAATTATCTTTTACCTGACCTATCTTTTTTTGATATGGGAGAGACAAGGATGAACACAGTAACTCAGAGCGTTGGTAAAACTCTGATCAGGGTCACGGTATTTTGTTAAGCGTTCCATACCACCTCTTTTTAAACATTTCAGTGGCACTGTAACTTCTGATACCCACTGAACAGAAGTTTTATTGCACTAGCCGCAGAATTTCTCCTGACAGTTGATTAACTGCGTATGAGTAAATTGGTATTATCCCACCCAGTACCTACTTTGTTGTATTTGTAAACATCAGCCATTTCTTAAGTTCTGCTACGGTCCACTGCATTTCCACAAAGTTTTAAGTCCTGCATAATCTAAGTAGCGCCATTTCCACTTCATTTTGATACCGGAACATGTATTCTTTTCTCCAATTTATTTGTTAAGTGTTAATCAGTGGTCCCAATAGAGGTCTGGCATAATTTGTTATCAATCTCCATCATCTTTTTGTATTTAGCATTTATTCCTATTCTCCCCATCTTATCTAAGTTCCAGTGCTTCACAATCCACCTTACTGCATGCTTTATTTTTATGGTAGCAGCTTCCCAGAGAACTTCAGGCTTTGTGAACATACAAATAAAGATCAATTCCATCAGATTGTGCTATTACCTTTTACAATAATTCTAGCAGATTAAGGGGCACATTTTGGTCTTCTTTTTTTTTTTTTAACCAAACATATCATTTCATATACTATTGAAAATCTTTTTTCTTTTTTTTCCTTAAATTTAACTTACTACTTTATCCAGTTATCTATTCACTTCAGAAGGTTTGTTTGGGTTCATTTCATAGGATTTCACCCTTATGCTTCTATTTTAAGACACAGCAACGCTGCCCATGTAGGAAAATCAGCTACTTTCTTTTTAAGCTTCTTCAGGGCTTCTGGCTGAATTTCACGTGGACTTGCTGATACAACAATTCCTCTTCATTTTGTAAATTTAAAGTATTCCCTCCTTTTCTGGAATCTAAAATCTGAATTTTTTTTTTTTTTTAAATGACATTAAAGTGTTTCAGCATCCTCTGTGGTAAGAGCTGTAGAAGTACAATGGTATTTTTGCACTGAAGTCTTTGCCCCTCTTTAATCAGGAGTATTTTCTCAAAAAAATCAATTACTTTAAACATTTAAAAGTAATTTTAGATATGAAAACGAAAGTGGGACTATTTGCAAAAAGATACATTTATCCTGCTCTATAAAGTGGCATGTTTGCTTACTTATGTTACAACATTATGAAGCCAATTTCATTCGAAACAGTAAGCCAGCTTTTCCCTTCTGTGAGTCATTCAAGAGCAGAAAGGGAAATAAAACTGTCTGTAAAAGAAGAGCAAAATATGATGGCAAATATCACAGCACTATGATAACTAGAAGTGACTCCTCTTTACTCTTTGAACATTTGTATCATTTCTGTTCACGTATTTGATTTGCTGTGTCAGTCCCTCTCTTAAGTCTTATTTTCTACATTCCACATGTAAAATGCCAATGTAACACCTTTTTTACTAGTTTCCTACTGGTCAGATTTTATTTAATAAAGAATACTAAAATGAACCTCGTATCTTGCCATTTCATCCTGGTCCTGTCGTACATTCCTGCTTCCTTTTTGTTTAGGGAAAACTGGTTATTTTTTAATATATAACTTTAGTAGAAATACTTTCGCATGGAGCTATCTCCTCTCAAGTTGTTCTTCTGGCATAGTATCAGAGGAATAAGGTAATTTTTGTCACCACCAATTAAAAAGTTTTACGAAACAGGACCGTTATAAAACAATTAAACCTTGCAAATGCAGTAGTCTCTAGGAGGGAAACCCTGGAGGAAATTCTGCTTATTAAAATTGCAATTTTAGTTTCCATTAAAAAGGAGAATAAGACAACAGAAGATGGGCTGGCAAGACAAATTATTTCTTAATGTCAGTTGAGCTTATTTCAAATGAGATAACATATCTACACCAGGTTGGGTTCAACACATTTTTGCCTCCTCAACTCATTTATCTAATTCAGTCATCTTGATTATAGCCTCATGGACCTCCATTTTCAGAGGAAGAATTTCGTAACAAACAACCTACACAACATGCTGATTACTGAACAGTTAATTCTAATTAACTTGGCTATGGCAAGAGAATTTTGATAAAGTCCTAGAATGCAAATACAGTTTGGTTATTCTGGCCAAACTTCTATAAAATAAAAACCCACAGCAGAGTCTCCAGATGAGACAGAGTGATAGGGATCTAATTTAAAGAAACAAATGAGAAAATTAAAATCACAAATAATTTATTCTTCCGTTAGAATTGATGGAGTACAGTTTTAAATAGCAATGAAGTACACAGTGGTGGAAAATTGGCACAGAACCTACAAGCATTTCATTCATAATAATGTTCCTCATGCCATATCTGTTCAAACCTTGATGTGTATTTTCTATCGACTTTAAGAAAATTGTTTGCCCTTTAAAAATGATGAACAATTTGAAAATCTTGTCTTCCATGTACAATGTCATACATATTATGAACACCAGTTGTTTTTCTCCCCTCCCCCTCCGCCCCCTTCCCTAAACATGATTGCCAACCGAAAAAAAAAAAAAAATTATTTTATTCCTGGGCTAATTTTAAGTTTTGTACTTTATAAAAGTTGCCAGCAATTCCTGAATGCATGTATTCCTGCACAACAGAATATCCATTTATTTATCTGATATACAGTTGCAGGACAGTCTCAAAACCAATTTTTTGTGTACTGTGCTATTGATCAAGGTGCTGCCTCTATCTCACATGCAACACTATAAAAGCATTAATGCAGTTCAAAACAAAATTTGGCATTTACCTCACCAACAGGTTTTATATTTGATGTTATAAAACATCCCTTGGTCTCATGTTAACCAATAAGAAAAATGGACACACACAAAAAATGCCCCCTTTCTAAAGATATTAACTCCCAGTTAGGAAAGTTTAGATAGGTTTTACAAAGTCTTCTAGGCTATTTTGATACATACAAATTATTCAACTAAAGGTTAAAATACACTTATACAATGCAGTCTTGTCCCCCATATTCTTTTTCAAGCCAAGTAAAATTAACACTTGTCATTTTCTTTGTTATTGCAATTATTAAGAGGGATTACAGCTTGCTTATGCAAAGCTGTGACAAAACACTTGAGAAATAAAACCCAAATGTTTACCTTGTTACCCAAAAAATGTTGCAGAAAATTGTCAAACTATGTTAGAAACAATTTTTACAAAAATGCTTCACTCAGAAAAATTGGAAAGCTTAAAAAATTAATCTTTGCACAAGACTATATTATACTGTCCATAATTATGTTCCCATTTAGATAACTGGGATTCTTATTCTTTGTACATGAACCTATCAGTGATGTATGATGCTCTCCATCTTTTTTCACTGTTATCTTTATTGTACACCATTTCCAGATTTATACAATCAAGCACTTATCATGCCCCAACCCATTTTTAACAGTAGATTTCTAATCCTGCCCAGCGAGTAGTGTACTGTCTTGCATATTCACCACATGAAAAACATAATATACAAAATATTGCTGCTGTAAAAAGTGTGCATTTCCCCTTTCCCCCTACAAAAAAAATCTGTGGAAAAAATATTAAATTCCCATAACCTTCATAAACATACAAAGCTGTTCGCACCTTTCAGTCTGTAACAGTATTTGACATACAGTTCTCAACTCACTGCAAATTGTTATGTCACATATTTTCTGTCCAATATTGCCATCTAGAGTAGAGATGTGAAATCAGTTTCTGAGAATCTACAGTCTTTAACAATTAACCCATAAAGACTGTATACCATAAAACAGCCACAAGATTTTTCCAAAAGCTAGATGGAATGGGAGGTTCTCATCTCAGGAAGATGTCCACAGTGCTGAGGAGACAATATGGCTGCTAATAGATATTGCCTACCGGAATGTGAGTACTTTTTCACTGTTGATAGTTTCCATACTGACCCTAAGAAAGAAATTCAAAATACATAATTAGACCACAAGGCCTATTTTCCTGTATTAAAAGCTGAAATCAGAAGACCATCCAAATAAACTATGATGTTAAAAGGTGGAAACAAGTAACAATAGATGATAAACCAATATGAGTAAGTGGTACAGAGTTTCATCTCACTAAAAATCCTTTGTGTTTTAATGTAAAAGTAAGACTGATGATACAGATTTAAAGCCAGGAACCTAATTTGATCAGAAGAGTATATCTTTAAATTCAATAGACTGCTGTGAAATTTGCAGAACACCATCAAAAATTAAAGATGGAAGTTACTTCCCACCTAAATTTTGAGAACGATTTCAAAAAGACAAGGTCACCTAAATTCAAAGTAATTTAGGAAACTAACCTGCTTTCAGAGATACCTAAAAATATTCATGTATCAGTCATCACAGAATGGACTCATACATGCATCTCAAAAATCAAGGCACACCCCGGTGAACATAAAGAACTAGTCAGCATATCCTGTGGGAATCAATTATTCCATAGATCCAATACATAGAATTATTACCCTTATTGATATTTTCTATTTCTTTTAACAGAACGTCATGTACTGCAGAGGAGGGCAGAGATGAAAGCATCAATGCTGCATGTTTACCATGATTCTTCACCACAGGGTTCAAGGCTTGCAGAAACAAGTAGTGTGCTATGAAGCGAACATTCTCCAAACTGTGGCCCCACCACCATTGCATGTTTGGTACCATCACAATAAGGCAGTATTTTAAATTCCAGTTCTATGTTGCAATGTCAGGTTTTTTCCATTGTAATATGGCAATCAGTCAGGAGAAAGAGTTTCAGAACAGCTGTCAGATGAGAATTTAAGCAGCACAATTCCTATGGGAATGGCTAGTATGAAAGAGTGGAGGGGTTTCCCGGGGGAACGTAGATTGCACAAACTAGAGGAAGTAGAGCCTACCTACAGAGAAGGTTATCCACTTCTACTGCAAAGAAAGCTGGAAGAAACTCAGCAAATTGAGATTAAGTTCCCTTGACCTTACGTTTGCTACAAGTAAAGCATTTTTCTATAGCTTATTATTTGCAGGAGGAAGCTATTAGTTCAATGCATGAGCATTTTGTTTCTCTGTTAAATAATTAGAAGTAATTGCATCTCTAAAGTACCACACTGAAAGAGTTTGTTCCTTCTTCCTCATCTTTTCTAATTTCTGTAGAAAGGAAGCCAACTGTTCTCCTTTAAAAATGCGGGCAATTGTGGCTATTCTCACTTCCAAGGGAAAGTTCTTCTTGAAAGTTCAACTGATCTTCTACTGACGTATCCGGATTTTATTTAAACATTAGAACCTCAACTTGATCATAAGGTCTATTTAGTTACTCTCCATTTTATTTATGCTGAGGAAAGTAATAGTGTACGTTTTAATGACGTTTCTGAACAATTCACATTGCAAAGATTAGATTTTTACAGTTTAGTACCTTCTAGAGGAATAAAATCTCTGCTTCATCCTTTAATTAGAAGGTTTTTTTTTTTGTTTTTTTTTTTTTTTTTAACAGGAGTCCTCCACTACAACTCCAGCCTAGAGTTTTGGTGTTTGTTTGTTTTAAACTTATCTTAGTAGTGATAGGAAAGAAGCAGTTGATTTTTCAGGTCACTTCTTTCCCATGTTCAGTATTCCTTTATACTACTTAGAGAAAATCTGTGCAGAAATAGGCTTCCTGTCTCCACACATAGCTGTACAGTAGAGGGACTTCAGCTGCACACCTGAGGTGGTTCTGAAAATCAATTCAACCACTTTTATTGCAAGGCAGTAATGAAGAATGATCCACCATGAGATTTAGGAACCTCACCTTTCATATTAGTCATTGACCATGAGGCTATGAAACAGATCACTTTAATCTTTTAAGGTCTAAAAACATTGTCTGGAGTGCCTCACTTTGCCAAATTGCATTAAAACTCTGTAAACTCAGAAGAGAACGACTAATCACACCTCCTGACAAATGATTCTGGGCAACTCACCTGGAAATAAAATCCATGAGAATTGTATATACACACCTGTGAGACCATGTCCTCAAATTCATTAGTTTAAATGTTCGTAAGAAACTAAGATTATCAAATGAGTGTGTAAGAATCACAACTTTCTCATCAAATGAAAGAATACCTGGTCATATCCATAAGGCCTCTGCTGTGGTGGCTGTGGTGGCCCAGGCTGTGTGGGTCTGTATCCCCCATACTGCTGGCCTTGTCCTTGTGGATAATTGGGATACTGAGGTCCTGGACCACTTTGGGAGGGGCCTGGAGATCATTAAAATGTAAACAAAAAAAAAGAAAAAAGATTGCTTAAGGTGTTAGGAAGAAGAGAACAGCGAAAGCATTGAATTTTACAACAGACAGGGCTAAGAAGTATCACTACTGTGCAACTAGGTCTCTTCCTATCTAAAAACATACCAGGGATCAGTGGTCCTCCTCTCACCCTGGAAAGCACCTTAGCTGACAGGTCCTGTGCTCCAACCACAGAAACGCTTACGTTTATTTATATATTCATTATTTATTACCAATACGTGTAGTTCCACACATGAGGTCATAAGACAGGGAAGAACAAGGCAAGAAATGACAAATCATAAACACAAGCACTTTCCAGGATTTAGGAAGGCACACTCTCCTCCTGCTTCATGCTGCTCCAGTTCCAGAACTTTATAATCCAAGGAACAGGCAGATGATCAGCTGCGTTCAGCATTTGGACCTTCTGAGGAGACTAGCAGCACTGCACTGCCAGAAAGCCAGTTCCATAGCAAGCACACACCACAGCAGGCAATCGTAAATGGGATGTCAGGCAAGCAAGTTACATGCATAAAATGCGAGATGTGACAACCAGTAAATGCTATTGTGGGATGGAAAAAAGCACCCTCTACTCCATACTCCTCTGGTCATCTTAACTTTCTAGGAAAAGGATTGGGGGGGGGGAAACCCACACACAAAACCAACTTTGGCTTCACCCTTTTTTGACTGTAAAAGGAAGCAGTCCTTTTGTCAATACAAACTCTTTCTGCTACTATTCACAGAGACTCAGCCTGTCTACCATTGGAAGCTGCACGTTACTGCCATCAGACAGTGCAGACATGTTCCAAACAAGATTAACCTCACCCCCTCCTACCTTGGGAGAGATGGTGTACTGTGTATTTCAGTGACACTCCATACGGATCTTTTGCAGTGGATTTAAGTCAGCTTTTTCAATACTACCCCTTAAAAACTGGCAGAGTCAGGAAGATTTGCAATTCTTCGGAAGTGCTTTCTTTTAAAGAAACCAACACTTCCCCCTTCCCCCCAAAAGAAACAGATTTGGTTTAGCAATAATGTGATTCAGTGCTAGAGAGGGCTAGTTTTAGCTGCAGGCACTGGACATTACGATGACATCAGCTGGTAACTCTTTCAGTAATTCTGGATCTATGAGACAGTCAAAAAGATGACCTGGAGAAGAAAAGCTCCACAAGCTATTACCATTCTCCTCAGGCCTCAAATCCCCTTGAACTGTGCAGTTTCAGCTTTCTACAGTGGAACAAAACTTTAAAGATTGATAATAATGACTCGGATGCTGATTTATTTTTGCAAATTAGAAAGCAATTAAATATTAAATTGAGCAAGGATACTACATCCTAAAAAGTGCTGTGTTCATCTGACAAATGAAACTTGGTTTTATTTATTCATGCTAATTCTTTATAGTTGAATTCTAAATATTCAGTGACATTTTATAAAATAAAAATGGAACTACAATATCTATTTCTGCTAAAAAATAGAAATTGAGAAGTATGCTATTTGAGTTTACAAATTACAGTGGGTAAGTCACTCCAACAGATTTCTTCATCCCTTTCCTCTAGCATTTCTTAACCTAAATTTTCAGAGTAAGTTCAGATTTCTTTACTTACAAAATTTAGAATAGTGAGCTAGATGGACCTTCACTCTGATCTTCATTCTGTTCCTATGTTACGTTTAGCAGAATGTAAGTACATGACTATTATTTCAGAACTATCAATTCATCCATAATCTCCAAAAGGAGAAAATTTGCTAAATCTCAGTGGATCCTCTTAAAATTTAACTCTGTCTCAACACAACTGGATTTAATGCAAATCTGTCATTTATCTACATGGCAAACAAGTCAGCCATCCGCTTCCTCGCATACCCACAGTGCTGAAAGTTTTAGCCCTTAAACCTGCAACAAAGCTACAAGTTAAAATATATGGAATTAGATTTCAGAGATTTTTTTCTCCTGAGATAAAAATGTACAGCTTTACAATAAGCGAGCTAGTAAACCCTTAAAGAGCAGTATTTCCAGTATGCTCTTCTGACCTCAAATTTTCACAAGTAATGCACAAAAATTACGTACTAAGTTTCCTCGGTGGGAGGTTTTCCTTGAATCCAAGGACTATATTATCTTACTTGTGGCAGAGGATTTCTCTTTCCTGGCATACAACAGAAGGTTTGCACTACTAGTGCAAATTTGTAAGACAAACTGTCTTGAAAGCTGCAATGCTTATATTCACTTCTTTACTAATCAGTACAAGAATTTTAAAAGAATGATTCACGTATGTTGGATGAAATTTTAAACTAGTTTTTAAAAGATTTTGTTCTAAATGGCAAATCCAAGTATGAAAGGATATAAATGGCTCTTTGCTATCTTTGTGCCCTCCTGACTGTGTTCCCCTACAGAGGACAGAAAATAGCAGATTCTTTCTGGATCTTTCTAAATTACAGACACCCGATATAATGTTGTCTTGTCACCTGTGGTTTTCTGTGCTACCACACTGTTTTAGATTGCCAACAGATCTACTTCCCAAAATACACTGTCTTGTTTTGGCCCAGTGAAATTGTGGGCATACAGCTTTTTTGCACAAACTTGGCCTTTCAACCCAGTAAACCAGGGATGGAATAATATACGAGGATCTCTTAGTCTTTTCTGTGATTGCTGTCTGTATCTTCAGGTTCTTACCATAACCCTGCTGTTGTCCTGGATAGCCTTGTTGGCCTGGATATTGCTGCTGTTGTGGTGGATAACCCTGCTGTTGGGGTGGTCCTTGATAGGCATCTTGCTGCTGACCATATTGCGAGTTTCCTGTAAGATGATTGCAAGAAAGCAAAAACTTATAAAGATACCTACTTTATTAATCTTTTTCCTTCTAAGATGCACAGCCAACAACACAAGAACAAAATGAAAATGCAATATTGATTTCAAAAACTGAACAAAACAAAGAAAACTCAAACCAAACAGAAGGAATTCGGCCAAACAACTGCAGTTAAAGCCAATTTTGCAAAGTTGAACTGCAGCATTTTCAGCATCTCTGCCAAACAAGCATTACATTTACTGGAACATCACAGTCATAAGATCATGACTATGCTAAATAAAATTAAAAAAGACAAAATTAAGGACAGCTACAAGAGCACAGACTAGCTACACAAGATCAGCAAGCTGTTTCCTAACGGCACTATAATTATACAAAATATACACACACACAAAAAGATATACAACTGAACCAACAAATTTATGTTTAAATAAAAATTTCCATTGAGGTAAAAAAAAAAGGAAATCTCTAGAGTGTTTTAGTCATTTTACTGTTGTTAGAAATGGCAAATTGTGGTTATATATTTTAGGTGTTTGCAAGAAATTATTCTGAACGCTTCAAGTTCCCTGCAATTTTCAAGACAGCCAGCAACTAGTATTCTACAAGAGCTTTGCATGGGTATAAGTCGTGTTGTGCAAGAATTTTTGTTCCCGTTGCGGGTGGGGAAGGAAAGGGAATGTATGTGCGTATGTGTGTGAAGGTATATAGATACCTCCTTCGTAGTAATGTTGTGAGGAATCCTCATAAGGCCTATCGTAGCCTTGTTCAGGATACGACGGTTGCTGATAACCGTAATCATTATGACCTACATCAATTCGACAAGAGACAGGAAGAAACGTTAATGGCCCCTGAGTGAAAACCCTAAAAATATTTCATTTCTCAGAAAAATGAAAAAAATTTCAACTGGATATACATGAAAAAGAATCTTCAATTGTATTAGCCTAAGATTTATTAATATGATTTCCTTTCATATTGAATTAACATGTGACAGGAAAAAAAAAGGTTTAATGCAGTAGTTTTAGCAACATCACAGCAAGGGATGGTCTTAACCTTCTGATAATCCTTGTTGGGGGGGCGGGGGGGAAAGTACTTTATCTTTCACTCAAAAAAAATAAAGCATTTAGGCCTTTCACATGTAAATAACCTGAATTAAATTAGAATGAACAAAGAAAGCAATTATCATACTTTGTCTAACACCTGTTCTGCTGATGTCCAATTCAAAAGCATATGCTAAAAGCAGTGTGAAATACAGCAAATAAAGCTCAATGAAGTTATGAACCATAGTCTACACTAAATTTTGCTTTTAAGTGACAGAAAAACAACATACTCAAGGTTTTCCCTACCAACAGAATTCCTACAAATCTTAAGAAAACTTTTCCTCTTACATTCCAGTCCTGAATAGGATCATTAGAAATGAATCTTCCTTTTCAGACACTACAGGCATCTCTGATTACGAAACCATGCAGTAAGCACCCCACCTGTTGTTGTTTTTAGAACAAATCTATTTTGTCTTACAGATGACCAAAATATATCTTATTGCTACCTTGGTCAAGAAAACAAGCCTAAAATTTGTTTAAATTTGAAATAAAATTATACAAATTACATACACTTGAAATAAAATTTTGGAATAAAAATAAGGAAAGGAGAAAACAGTTCTAAAACTAAGTGGTGTTTGTAATTAGTTCTGCAACTGCACCATACGTCATTGACTGAATCTAATACAAATACATAACCATTGACACAAGTCTTATTTCTCTTTGCATTCTATATAAGAGTAATAATGAGGTAATGATAAAGAATGAATCTTTAGAAGGAATAGGTCTTAGAGAAGTAATCTGTGCTGCTACAGAGCTGTCAATGGTAACATCCAATTGCCCTTACTACAGTAAATTGCCTGTAACCATCTAAAGCTCATGTGTGTAACATAAAAGTTCCAAACTGAAAGCTTAATAATTATGAGTTAATGCAACTTGTAAAATAACTCTGCACACATATCTCCAAAAATAACACATGTAAGCTTATATAGACGTGGCTTGACGTTTCTTAAAATCAATTTAATAGAAATCAAAATTCAAACAACTAACTTGTATCCTTTTATTTGCAATGAGTAGTTGCTTTGGCAATTACACAGCTTTGCTTTGTATACAGTTTCAAAACATTAGCATCTACCACATTCCTTGAACTTCGTAAGATACCATTAAGTTGCACACACAGTTATCACAGTAGTCATGAGTCAGCATCTTTGTTCTCCCAGTCTCTGCTCAGCCTGAAAACAGGTTAATTGCAACTTTTCTAACTTATAACACAATCAATAGCCTTCAGGACTCTAAATTCCAAGAGGTAGGCGGACAGATTTATGCAATTCGAAGTTATGGTCTTGTCTTGAACGCACTGGGGGGACTTCTAAAGAGGATTCACAATTACAAGCTCCTCAGGGCAGGGACCATTTTATTCCTTGGTAAAAATTAAGCTCAAGGCCCATACCATCCATAGCAGCAATAACACATTTGTGCGACTTATATTAAAACTAAACACTAAGTTAAAAAATAGAATATTTACAGAAAAACCACATATTTTTAACAAGTTTTTCCACTTCAATAAAATCTTTAATAAAAGGATATCGCCCCCTCTCTTATTTATAATAAAGTTATGACTGTTTTAATTCATCTCAATTATGCTAGATATGCTAAGGAACCCTCCATACTTTTAGATAAACCAATTACAGAATTTTCATTTTGAAATACTCAAATTGTTGTTAAGAGTTTCAAATGGGAGTATTACAAATTACATACTTTGAGTAAGTTGTAAAATTATCTAGTCATAGTAACTTAAACTGTAGTAACAATTCTGAATTTGGAAGGTTTTGTAAATGTGAGGTATGATATCCAATTACTGTTCTTGCCCCATTCCCTAATTTTGGGCATATGACTACATTAATATTGGGCAGGTATAGAAAATGGGAAAGTTAACATTTATGAGAGATTACCATCAGGGTAATATTGCTGGTTCATGCCTTCTGGAGGACCTTGTCCACCATGACTGTATTGGTCCCCATAATAGTCTTCCTGGCCTGAGTACTGCTGTGGTGGGCCTGAAAAACCACAACCAGTCAATACGTAAATAACTTGTTTTCTCTGTTATAAAGCCTGCTAATTTCTGATTTTAGTATGAGAAATATTTCTCAAATGTACTCCCCACCCATATCGTTGCATTTCAGACAACATATGTAATCTGGTTTACTTTAAAAAAAAAAATTAAATATATCTGTCTATATATATATACACACACAGTTGTTTGGCTGCACTAGACTGAGCACATATATATCAAACTTCAGTTTTGAGCTCATTTTAGGAACATGCGTATAACAGACTAAGGTGTTAAAAATAAAGTTATTCCTTTTCTAAAAGGACTGGAAAAAACAAAAAGGCAGCAAGATTGTGGAACATTGTTCCTTTTTTGTAACTGAACGAATTCAGAACCAAGCAGGTACTCTGTTCCTTTTCTATACCTATCATTTAAATATCGAAACAAAATTCTGCATCCGCATATCTGAGATGCATATTTTTAGATACTTTTTGCCAGAAAGAACTCAAAACAAAAGAAATACTTGTCTTCACGTTTCATGGTGATACCAGTAATCTGTTGCTGCAAGAACCACTCTTAAGAGGGTAACAAAAAGAGTCTGCAAACAAAGTCTGTGACACCTAATGATTTGATCGAAATTTGGTGTAAGCAAGGAAGTGATTTAAAATAGTTTTAAAAATGGTTATTTAAAATCAATGTAAAAACACTGAAGTGAAATCCTACCTTGCTGTGGTGGCCTGTATGGAGGAATCTGTCTCTGACCCATCATGTGATTTCCTTGGTTGACTTGGCCCATCATTCCCATAGGTGGCTGCTGCCCCTGGTAATGCTGGCCACCTGCTTGTGGCATGTTGTATTGCTGGGAGGGAGGCTGCTGGTGCATCATTGGACCTGTAAAAGGGAAAGTAGCAAATAAGTCTTCTGTAATACATGATTTATGATTAAATCTTTCAAAAAGAACATGGAAAACCCAACCTTTAAAAATGGACCAAAAAAGGCTCTGTATTTCTAATGCTCTCATAAGGATTCGTTGTTTCTGGACCTATGCAAATGCAGGTGATCAATTCAGTAACCAAGTTCAAAATAGAACTCAGCCTAAATAAGGCTTCTTTCTAGATGATTTTTCTTCAAACTACACAGACATTAGTTTATGCACGCACAGAGATAACTGAAACACTTTTACCATTTTTTGTCTGTTTGTTTTAAAAAGCATCTGCAAAGAAAGCGTACATGAAAACCTGATGGTAAAACCTTGGTAAGTCATAGAAAAATTACTTAATGTTGTGAACTCCTCGGGGCATAGTTTTAATACACATGTAGTAGTTGTTATAGTCCATTAATGAGCCACTTAGTTGTTATCACAAAATAAACAATTTTATTTAGCCTATAAAGACAAACTACGTGAGTCAGGCAATCACACAACAGGCAGTATGCAGAAAGGCCCCCAGGAATACGTGCTCTGCCCACCACTGAACAGTCCCAGGCAGCCTGTAACAAAAATCTTCTTTCACACCAAACTGCACCAAGTTTCTATGAACCACAGGAAGAGACCAGGAGAGATCAACTACTGTCCATGTTTTATCAACTGAGAAAATCTCGTTAACGCTGAACTTGGAGAAATGCAAACTTCAGTAATGAAACAGACAGTTGAAGAGCACCCTACTGACACCATACAGCAATGAAAATTATGATTACGCCATTTCATTATACGGGATTGCAGATTAGGTTGATGCAACTTTTAACAAAGAACAGCTTCCTCCCTACCTCTGTAGTGCCACTTCAGAAAAGAGTTATTCCAGTATTAAAAATATGAAGAGGAAAGAGTTGTGACATGGAACTACAGTTCTTAAACAACATATTTTTATAATACATTAATTCAAACCACTTAACACATATTGCACACTTTATAATGGTGAAACCCAAAGCTTTGTTTGCCTTTTTTTTTTTAATTTATTTTATAAACTACAAAGAAAACAAGTTACTAATCTCACTAAAAAACAAAACAAAACATCAAACTAGCACAGCCACTCCTTAGCCCCATCCCAGGAGAAAAAGGAAGGTATCATCTAGTTTTCTATATGCTAGATTTTGCCATTGCATTTAATATTTTTAAATAATTAGATGCTGGAGCACAAGCAGAAAGTCCTACATAGAAACCGCGGTACTGGAAAATTACCTAGATACAAGTCAATACTGAGAACGGATTTATATAAGGAAAGGAATACATAGTCACTTAGATCCTGTCTATGTGGGATTATGAGAGAAAGTTAAGCCAAATTAATTAATGGTACGAATTCAAAGTGCATTAGTTAAATCCCATTAAACCCCTATGTGGAATCTCTCAGTGAGAACTAAAGTGGCCTTAGTTCTGTTAAGCTTCATTTTCCTCTGAAGATAAATATTGGCCACTCTTACAATGATCCAGTTATGCTTCCATCCTTCAGCATGGCAATGTCCCTGTCCCAATTTTAAAGTGAAAAAAAAGGTTTAAATTGAGATACTGGAATTATTTTTCACTTAGCAAAAATATACTTCATTTTCTGATCTTCTGAATGAGTAAGTAATTTAGATCATTCCATTTCACTGCTCCTCTGTTTGGAGGTACCGAGAAACATTAGGCAGCCTTGGAAAAAAAAAAACAAAAAAAAACTTGTTGCCATAATATTCCTAGATCTCAAGAAAGCTTGTTAATTAACAATATTAATATTAGTCACAATACAATGTGATAAAATGTGTTGGGTCCCCATGGTGCAATGTAGAGGTTTTCTGTTTGCTTTTTAAATTAGAACTTCATTAACGCTTTGTAGAGCCACAATGAGAATTCACTACCCTGTATCAGACTGTGTATTGTGTTAATAACAGCGTGCCTGGCTTCCTTCCAGTTTGGTTCACATCTCTCTCTTATTATCTAAAAAGATACCTAAAAGAAGAACCATGGTCTCTATTGTCCCATGCAACAGAATGATTTTATGTGGTAGTTTTGAGGGGTGAGGGAACTTTGAAATTGTTTTTTCTTCTGAAAAATCAAGCCTACAATAAAGCTACATTTATTCATCGTATAATACTTAATATGGCATAAAATTAACCTAGAAAACCCCTTCACAAAACTTAAGTCAAAAAACTTAAGACCATTAGTTCATGATCTAAGACACTCTAATATTTGTAGCACATATTTTTACAGCCCACTTAAAATACAGCTCTTGAATTTCCAATCAGGTCACAACAAACTACACTAAGTGGAAGTCATGATCTCTTCCAGACTCGGAGATAAGACCTCACATACAGAAGTTCACAAAATTGTGTGTTGCAAGAGAATGCTCACTACTTTCAAAAACTCTCCTTAGAAACTCTTATTTTTCGGTGAATTTCTAGAACTATTTATTCCAGAGAGGACAAAATATCTGATTTGTACAGAGTCCAAAATGAGTCCAAGAAAATATTCTGTAGGACTATCCCTGTAAATATTCAAGTACACAAGCAGACTACTGTCTCTCCAAGAAACTATTTTAACTTTGGTAGTACAAAAGTCCTATAAATGTTTCTGTATATTCACAAGGCAGCCTTTACATGTCAATACACTGGAAGCATTCTTGGGATAAAAGTCAGAAGAAAAAGATGCTAAGAATTAATACTGTAGGTCCTGTGAGGAGCGCGGGTAATTTTGGTAGTCATTAAACAGGCATTTGAAAAATGCAAAGTGTAGACCCAAATCAGTCTTATGGAGTAAGAGAATGTATAAAGCAAGCCAGACAACAGGTGAAAACTGAACTGCTTATTGTTCAATTTAATGAAAAGTAGTGCACATTATCAAGAACACACAACATTTACCTCAACTGCTCATTTCAAAGTCCTCTACACCTACTAAATGAAAAAAACTGTTCCTGCTCCAGCCAGTGTCTCATAAGAAGGACTCACGTATAGGGAAGAAAAGGTACGCGGATTTAAGTAAAAATGGGCTGGTACTTGATCTTCTTATAAATGCAGTCACCCGGTGGCTGTCTCCTGACAAGAAATGACTTCAGGAAACTTGGCAACCTAGTCTTCAGACATGTAAGATGAATTGAGAAAAAAAGAAATGCAAACTGAAGCGGGTGCCAGATAAACCTAACAAATTTGAGACCGGAAGTGCGCTGAGGATGAGAGCGCTGTAGAAAAACTCAGTGGTTTAAAAACGTCTCCTTAGCTCTGTCTCTTCTGCTGAACTCAGATACTGGTGGCAAATGCTATGAGAGGACACGAATAACTGCTGACATGGTTGAAACTTCTGAAGAAGCAGAGAAGTGAAGAACCACACTCAGAAATGAACTGGTGGCTCTTCTTTTCTGATCAAAGAGCGATGGGAACAGCTGGGTATAACCAAAAAGCAACAGTACAAACTATTGTTTCTTCAGCCTTCAAAAATATGTTGGTTTTGTTGCTAAGAAGAGGTCTACTCTTTAGGCATTTCACAACATGCACTTGTATTGATAAAGCAATCGGATATCCACATCTAGAGTATCAGCAAAGTACACCACGCCAGATTTACCATGATAAATCTCATCATTGTGTCCACTGTTACATAAATAACAAAATATATACCTAGCAATGCAGCAGTGCTCAGCAAAACTCTTTTGTTGTTTTTCTTCATGTTTACAAAAAATGATTGTTTGTAAACATAAGTGATGGTGATAATTCTTGCAAGAGCTAGCTTAGGAACTCTACCGTAAATTTAACTTCCAATTCTCTCAAGATTCTTGACAAAAGCTACAATTCAGATGTACTTGGTCAAATGAACCAAAATCTTAAAGTTTTTTTAACATGAAGGGCAGTTTAAACACTAGCTCAAAAGACTCTGAGGATACAAAATTTTTTGCTACTCCTAATGTATGATCTAGGCCGCAAATTAAAGGTAGTAGAAACTTCTCTACACTCGCTTATTCCACAAAGTTCTCATCTCAAACTGAACCATAATTTCAGGTGTCATTTAAAAAAACCCATAAAAATAGGTCATACAAAAAAATTCCTTAGTTATCAATGTTGCCTCTCATGTTTTACGTTAGGGAAGAAAGATGAAAGAACAAGCATTGTGGCACCTGTTTATATCTTTGTTTTTTCAAGATAGGAGAACTGCAGTGTCTTCCACAGCTAGACATCCTACAAATCCAGCTATAGCATGATGGCACTTCAGAATGTGGAGGCAATTTTATTTTTCTTTAATAGGTTAGCTGTCCAAAAAGTTGAGACTGCCCTGCTTTGTCCATAACATCATGGCTACTGTAAGCAGTATTGAAATTAACAGCCTCTGCTTACATGGGAATGAACAGATGGCAAGACATTCACAAAAGGTCCTCAACCTCAGACATCATTTTATCCTGATCTGTCATACCCTGAATATGTTTATGTTTCAAATAACATTGGATGTTCCTATCTTTATGTTCCTTTCTTTACGTGGACAACAGAAGAACAGGAATTCTGCACCTGCCTCATCTCTGTTGTCTCCGTGATCTCTTCATATTTGCTTGTAATTGAAAGAGCTCTAAAACTTTAATGGAATTTTTTTAAGTTTATATAAATGAAACTGTCATTAAAAAATCACAGTACCAGATTCGACAATTGGTCTTCTGCAAATGATAAAGTCAACATGATATTCTCATGGAGAGTTCACCTGTTAGAAGTAAACTAGTTCCCCTTCCTCACCCCAAGCAACGTATAATGCTCATTAAATACAGACGGGGGAGTTTGGCAACTTTGCTTCAAGCACTTCTGGCAAGGGAACAGAATACTAGCAAAAGGATCTGAGAAACAAAGTTTGAGATAGCTATGATGACAACATATCACAGATAGCAGATAGTAAAAGGGACAGTTTTGCAAAAATATATACAGAAATTCCTCTTACTGGACTGACTATATAAAAACAATACTGTGAAAATTTTGCTTCGCATTTAAGATATTCCTCTGGCTAGCATTTTATAAACTAGTATAAATCAATAATGAGCACAAAGTGGAGACACAAAGTAAATCCAACAATGGGTTCTGTTACTATGCATTTTACTTCTTAATTAGCACTTTTTCATTTTTTCTCACTAACACCATCTGCCTCAAAATGTGTATATACAGCAAGATGTTTTGCTATAAAATGCACATAAAAAGTTATGCTAAACCACCCAAAAGTTAGATCAAACCTTTTTATGTGTTATGGTGTCTTTATCTATTATATGATAGCATGTATTTTTTTCTAAAAGTACTGGCCTCATTCAGGACACAGTAGGTATTATTCACTGAAAAGCTTTCAATACTTTGTTTCCTCCTAATTGTTCATGTGAGATGCCATGCCTAGTCAAACACTGAAGACAGAATTATTAATTTACTCATGGGTTTTCTTATGGCACTCATAACTAAAATGTCCAAATCTTCATAATGAATATACTTCCACAACACTCCTGTGAAATCAAATGGTATTATAATCTTACCATCAGATTCATTCCTCTACAGATGGGGAACTCATGCAGGGAAAGATTAAGGTCAAAAACATCTACTAATTTTTAACTGCCAACTGGAGATGCTAAGACCTTATCTTGCGGAATACTTAGCATTATATTTAGTTAGTACTGTTACTAACTGATAGATATAGTAGGATCTCTCACTCTCCACATGGATCACCCCTTTATAAGAAACAATGCGTGCTTAGGGATTCACAAATGCCTCCTGACAACAATACTGAGGTTCAGAAGATTTTGGTTTATTTCTGTTTCTGAACAGCAGCACAGGCTGCCAATTAAGAAATCTTCAAGTCACAATATGTTTATTCCCTTTTTCTTGAACTGCATCTCAATGCATTTCCTAGTGGCTCATTCTTGTTTCTTCACTTAGATGAGAAGCCTGCAGTATCTGTGCTTGGCTGAGACCCTCTGCCCAGCCAGACTGGATCTTGGCTACCTACGTAAATCTCTCATGGTCTCACAGATTTCTCTTCCATTCTCTCCCCTGCTCCCTTGGAGTCACAAGAGAGTGAAGATACAAAAATATTTCCTCTAATTGGTCACCAAATCTCAATACAAATGCAACAACTAAGAGTAGAAAATGGAGGAAATGTATTAAGTAGACCTGACTGGGAATATTCTTAGGTCAAAAACCTTAGCTACCAATACATAACAAACATGCACATCTTCAGACATAAAGACTTCCTCCCCTACAAACATTTAAAATTTGACTAATTTGGGACAATATTTTCATTGAAATAGCAAATGGCACCTTGCTGGCATAACAGACAAGTTTCAAAGCCTTACTCTAAAGCAGTGGGCACCTGCACTCCTACATTTACATAAGAAGTGCTCTGTTTACTATTGTTTTTTTGAGACATTGAAATATTTTAAAGACTGTAATTTTTCACCCCACTGTCAGAAATAGCTCTTCACTTCTGTGAAACTTCCGCAAAAAAATCAGCCTTGAAGCAGACATTTGGAACGGAAAAAGTCTTAGCCTAAAGGGTCAAAATTTGGCAAAATTAGAATTACCCAATGTGAAAGCTTACTGTGACCCTAAGTGCAGGCAATGGTACCAGCTCTTGTTCTAACTAGAGATTTTGCTCTTGTTCTTGAACATGTAATTTGGTTAGATACTGCTTTATTCTTTATTCCCCAAAGCCACTTCAGTACTATTATTTGGTCAGAACAGAAACCTTTTAAGTATCTTTCTGCCTAATTTCTAATGAGCATTTTCAAGTTTAACAGAGTATTGAAAATACAGCAGGGGAACGAGGAAGAGTAAAGAACACTACTTTGAGATGGAATAATCACTAATCCTAAATTGTAAGCCAGTCATACAAAGTAAGTTGTTTTCTGTAGAACGACTTGGTGGATGGCTCCCTCACACATACTGCTACATATTTATTGCTAACTCTCTGCAACTAAGAAATTTCAACTGAGCATGCACAGGACTTTTCTAAAGCATCTTACAGTGTTTACAAAATTACTCCATTGTGTATTGCCCAGAATACACAGATAACTTGCCAGTTCAGGGAGACAGTCAAAAATATTCCCACTTGTGATGGTTTCCTCTGCTGATAAATTTTAAGAAAAATGCCATTAACAATGTGGATGATAAAGGACTCAGACTTCCCACTTTCACTACTGATAAGAAAACTGCAGAAACAGCTGTTTCGTCTCGACTTATTTTCGGTCTCTCATTAACTTAGTCTTTTGTCCGTTTTGAACCTTTCTGTGATCTAATAATCAAACTGATCAGTATGACTTGGTCTGTTTGTACATCTCAGGAACAAATGGTATCTACCTAACAAAGTGAGCTTTGGTCTCCAATGAGAGTATACTGCAATAAGAAGAACCTATGCTACTGAAGGATTACTTTTTCTACAATGACCAGGAAGGGAGCCTTAGAAAAAGGGGAAAACGCATTCTCCTACGGCATCAGATGAAAACCTTGACTCAAGACATATCCTTCAGCTAATATATCCAGAAGAGCTCATATATATGGGGG